TTCCCAGAAATAATGGCTGTCCGGCCATCATTATTACAGCCGACCACTTCTCAAGGCCAGCCAACCACCAATTTTGACTGCAAACATAGTTGATCTTGGCAGCAAATAGAGAGGTTTTCGGAGGATGTTCTCGGTTGGTACGCATGTGGTTTCTCGTCTCCCATTCAAATCCATTAGATTAACAGCTTTTAGATTCATATGTTATAACTAATTAATTGTTTTGGTTTCATTCGAACTTGTAATAATTAGTTAATTAATTCATTCAATTGTGTTGTAATAATTAGTTAAGTAGGTCATTCATTTGAACCCTCTTGTGCGAGGGTCAACTTATAATATTTGTATATCTTCTAACCCCCATTTCTTTCTCCTTTTTATTTATATGTTTACCATGGTTGTATATAGTATCATGTTTTTGTTTCATATCATTATCATGCTTTGTATCTATTTTTGCACACATAAGGTTCGGTTCATCGTTTTTTGAATGTCATTGTCATTTCCTACTTACTTGAATACATGCGTTACTCCATCCTTTGAGTTAATCCATATGACATGTTAATAAGCCGAACCTAGTAGTTGCATTCTTGTATGTATTGCATTAGCCATTTTGCTTATAGGAACACGCATTTTTTCTAATTATTTTCTTTCCTTTGGCTTGCCTCGGTTGAGTACTAGGTGAGCATTTTTGTTTTAGCATATTACATATGTGTTTGTGTTGCCATGCCCAGCATACCACCCTGAGGCTACATGCTTATTTGAAATACCTCATTGAATGCCTGTAGATAAAGGCTATTTCGCTTATGTTGGAACAACTTTGATAAATGTACATACAAGCTTGCTTTTTTAAGTAGCACGTATTCAAAACTCTTTTCAAACAAACATAAAATCAAAGCATTCCAAAGTAGGTGACGTAGTCTATACTTGTGTACCTTATATAGTAAGTTAGCATAATAATCAGAACATGAGCATATAATGTACATAAAAATCACATCATGATTAGTAAAGGCTGATCTTTGATTGGGCGAGTGGGGTGCTCAATTCATGACCTTCCCCTCTTATAACTAAGTTCCCAAGTCAAGGCACTTTGGTTATGACGGACAAGTGGCCTTTGGCACGGGTCACGGGTTTCTTAAATTTCTTAAAAATATTTAGGTGGCGACTCTGAAATATGGCAATGTAGTCTATTTTTGGCATCTCTGATGATTAATGGATTTTTAAAGATTTGCCAGACTTGGACTCTCATTTATTTTCTGTTTCACATTGCACTTGTGAAACCAGATTCGAAACCACGGGAGTCTGAATGTAGGGTTATCGTATCTGAGGAGACTAAACCCTCTGAGGAGCATGGAAACTAGCTATAGTCCCTGCTATATGCCGATGTCAAGCAAGGTTTACCTTGATGAATAGATGTGGCTTACGTAAGCTGTGTGGTGAGGTTAATAAGCTCGGCCCTAGATGTTGATCAAGGTTAAGGTTGGGACACATTGGGTTGAGCATATCCCGATGGGAATTGCCACGTGGTCCAATCAAAGCGTAGTAAGGAGATTCCGCTATCTGTATGCATCAATACCGTTAGGCTGTTTTGTTGATGTTGTTTGACAGTATTTGTGTATACACGTGTAAAGAGACGAAAGGGTAATACATCAACATGTCCAAGGAAGGACGAGCAGAGTAGTGCGCGCATAAACTATATAAACCGTGTGGCGCCTTTATGCAAGAGGTTTGGAATTCTTGTTATCAGAGCTACCTGCCTTCTGTCTTCTTTCTCTATCTTTCTTCTTCTCTAAGTGTACTAACTTGATCATCGGAGGGGTTTTTCGGCTGTACACCCGATGGGTAGCTCACCGTTGTTTTGTTTTTAGGTTTAGCATCTTCATTCGGAGCTATACAAAGCTTAGACCCAAGAAGTACGGAGAGCGACGAATATTTCCTCCTCGTGCAGTGACAAATGGCAACCATGTTAGTGCCAAAATAAACTGAAAACTAACATTTTTGCCCTTTCATTTTTCCTTTTTTTAATTTTTTTTGAGTCATTTTTTTCTTTCTCTTCCATTGTGCATTATCTTCTCTCTCCTGTTTGATTTCCTTTTCTCTTACTTCCTTCAACAACCCAACTCACACCGCAACACACACTGTATACACAACCACTGAAATAGGTAATTGATTTGGAATAAGTTATATTTTATAGATATCATAACAGCTGATGCGTTGTTGAGAAATCTCAAAGAGGTATATGCCTTAGAAAATTATTTTTGGTGGGGTTGGCTTTCGATGATTGGAGTTCCGATTGGGTCGATGATCAAATGTTTTCACAATAGGTTGGGAATGGAGTGGTATTTTCTGCTATCATTTCTCAAGAAGTTTATACTTATTTTTATCTCTCTACAATCTCTGCCTACTGTGTTGTGGGTTTTAGTTTGTTTGAGAGCAAATAAGATGTGTATATATATAACTATGGATTCATTTGGGAATGTGACTACTTTAATAATCTATTTTAGTTTTTAACTATTTTAGTAGTTTAAAATTTTTGTGTTTAGAAAGATGATTGAATTTTTTTTATAGTTAGATGTGATATTTGTGAGAGAAAAAGTGAAATGATTATAGATTTGATGTGATATTTTATCTTTTTGGCTATTTTAATCTATTTTTTCTTTTTATGAATTTTATGCCTCGTTTGAAAACAGACTATTTTAATAAATTTTTGACTTTTTTTATAAAAATATGTACAGAAAAAATAGAGAGAGTGATGTGATAATTTATAATGACTTTTTGACTTTTTTACTAAAATATATAATTGACAAACGAGATCTTAATTAAAAAAAAAAAAGTCATAAACCCACTTCCCAAACATGGCCTATATATATGGGTGTGTGTGTGTATATATGAATGCATATGGGGTTTCATGGTAGGTTCAAATAAAGCAACAAAATGTTACGTTTGGTTTAGTTTTAAAATCGTGATTTGAGTGTAGAGTTATGTTTTGAGTTTGTGAGTTTTTAAATTATAATTTGAAAAGAGAAAATTTGTTTGGTTATGAGTTTTGAATTAAATTTTGAATTTTTAAAATGACTTTTAAAATGAGAAAAGTTGTTTGGTTATGAGTTTTGAAAAGAGTTTTTAAAACTTAATTCAAAAATTTATAACTTATAACCAAACACATAACTCAAAACTCTAATAAAAATTCTGTTCAAAACTCATAACTAAACTATTTTTAAAATTTAATTCACAAAAAAAATTATTGAAAAAAATAATTTTTTTATGTAAAAAATTAAAAATATTTTGAAAATGTTTTTTATTTAAAATATTAAAAAAATATATATTATTTTTTGTTAAAAAATATAATCAGAATTATCAAATTTCCATTCACCTCTTGTTGTCTGTGATTCTTAGCATCAAGAATCAACTCCTCATCTTAAGATTCAGTAACAGTTTGGTGAAGAATATTAGTCGGAAGATCCAAATAACACCCACCAGGCTGACTCGAAATTGCAGTGATCGCAGGAGCCGAAGATCATGACTATAGGCCAACTGTTGACAGCGGCGTTAGAGAGGCCAGAGAGGCTGTGGACGTAACTGGGGGCTGGAGGGGTGAGGAGGATACCAGGGTGGTCAGTGAGGAAGCCGTAGGCGAAAGTGGTGTAGTCGGCGGATTGCTCGTTGTAGAAGGAGATTAAAAAAAAAGAAAAAAAAAGAAGGTGCTGTTCTGGCCAACTGACCGAACGACTGGTTGGACGTTTGGATAGATCCAATTCCAAAATTTAAAATTCAAAAACTCTACTATGCCAAACATGTTCTGAAAATAATTTTCAAACGTGGTATGGAATCAATTTTTAAATACTATATTCAAACACCACTGAAATATGAAGGTGGAATTAAACCAAACATAGTCAAAGTTTTCTCCCTGAAAAAATTTGAAGACAAATGGTAATTGGTAATGTAGTTGGAGGTTGAACAGTTTTCAATGGATGAACGAAAAAGAGACAAAGAAGAGGAATAAAAGAGGGCAAAGAAATGGAAGAAACTGAAGGGAGAGGAAATCTAATTTATAATGGTATTGAAGAGAAAATTAGAAAAAGAAATTAGGGTAATATAGGCTATTTACATAAGTTATTAATGCTATGTTTAGATTGAGTGATTTGGAGAGAAAAAAAAAAAATTGAGAGATATGTATTTTTCTTACTTGTTTGGATAACTTACGTGGAGGGAAATTGGGAGAAATGGAGAAAAACTTATTTCTCTTGTAACTTTCATTTTCAATCTTCTCAAAAGTGGAGAGATTGTGAGAGAAAAGAAACTAATATTTTCAAAATACAAATTTTATCCCTATAAAAATAAAAGAAATAAAATGATAGAAAATATAAAAAGATTACTTTGATAATATAACATAAAATAATTTTTTTTTTAATTTATGAAATCTAACGAAATAAGAAGGAGAGAAATCATAATCATTTATTTTATTTTATTTTTTACTTATCCAAATAAGAATAAGAGAAATTACAATTATTTCTTTTATTTTATTTTCTTTTATAATTTAAGTAATCATTTCATTGCTTTTTTCTCCTATTTTGGGCTATTTTGGGAAGTTGGCTTTTAGCCACTTTTTTTGGTTTGTAACAAAAGCCAAAAGTTGGCTTTTTTGTCTTTTTTTTTCATTTGGGAAGTTAGTTTTTAGCCAACGGTGAAATTATAATTTTACCCTCATAGGTCAAAATGTGTTACATAGGTGAAGTTGTAAATATTTTAAATAAATGGGGGTAATTTGGTCATTTTATTATGATTTAACATCATAAACAGACATTAATAAAAAAAGTCAAAAGTCACTTTTTACTAACTTCCCAAATCATTTTTCTAAAAAAAGCTAAAAACTTAATTAAAAGTCAAAAAAATTACTTTCTACCAACTTTCCAAAACAACTCTTCGTGCATTTCAAAATTAGAGGGGGGGTGATAATATGGGTTTTTGTACTCAGCCACAGAGGTAGATTATAATTAACCCTTTCAACATCACCGTACAAAACTTTATTCAACGGCCCTAGTTTTTGATCCAAACCGACTGAAACAAGCTCCCGTCCTCTCTCTCTGTCCCCCCTACTCCATACCCAACCGAATCTCGAATCCCTCGATGTTGACAACACTCCAATCCTCGATCTCTCTCTGAATCCAACTCACTTAGCACCCCCAAATCGATCTTCGCGTGTTTCAGCGGACATGGAAATGCCTTCGATCTCTTCGAGTCCCCGTACTGTCGAAGAGATCTTCAAAGACTACAGCGGTCGTCGCGCCGGCGTCATTCGGGCTCTCACATTCGGTATACACTTCTGTACATACATACATATATATATATATATACATACTCAAACCCTAATTTCAATCTTCTCACTTCTCTCTCTCTTCCCCTCAGATGTCGACGAGTTCTACTCACTTTGCGATCCAGGTTGATCACAACTCTCCCCCCCCCCCTTTTCTTTTTTCTCTGCATTTGCCTGTTTGTTTGTGTATGTAAATATGTGTATATATTTGAATTTGGTCACTTTGATTTGGATTGGATTTGTTCTGTCTGTAGAGAAGGAGAATTTGTGTTTGTACGGACATCCGAATGAGACCTGGGAAGTGACGCTACCGGCGGAGGAAGTTCCGCCGGAGCTTCCGGAGCCAGCATTGGGGATCAATTTTGCGAGGGATGGAATGAATCGGAAAGACTGGCTGTCGCTGGTGGCTGTGCACACTGATTCCTGGTTGCTTTCTGTTGCTTTCTATTTTGGAGCTCGCCTTAATCGCAATGAGAGGTACACTTGTTTTTGCCTCTGTAGATTGTTGCTTGGTATCATGCTACTATACTAGTTACAAATTTGAATGTTGAGTGCATTTTTGTACATTGTTGGAGCAATTAGATTGTTTTTCCTTGTAAGGGTTATTGTTCTCTTTTATGGGTCAAAATATTAGTTAATGTCTTCGTTGAATACATCTGAGACATTGTGTTAGTCCTAAATGCTAATCTAAATTTCAGTTAAACGGGTCTTAATCTTAAGCCGGATATTTTCAGTTCCCAGTTGCCAAAAGTTTATATCGACTTTTCTTCTTTTCTTGAACTTGTATTGTGCCCTTTACATTGGGAGTGCGATGATGCTTGATGTTTTTAGTTACTAAATTTTGTTGATATATGAATGAATAGTTTTTTGGGAAAGTAAGTCATAAAATAAAACAATGAAATATACATGTTTACAAGGGGCATGCCCCTAGGCAACTACAACTCTCTATAATTTCCAATGTCACCCCTTAAACTAGGTTTTTTTTTTTTTTGGAACTACCCCTTAAACTGGGTTAGTGGGGACAAAAAACAAGATGCTAACATAATGTATTGACAATGTATTATAGCCCCTAGTTGCTTCTGCCATCAAGAATGAAGACAAAGAAACTAATTGTGATACATTGGCAACACAAAAAAAATGACCGATTAAAGCTAGTGATGCATAAGCCCAAGTTATGCTCATTCTACCAGCAAAACAGTCAACAGGAACCACAAACACAATCATTATGCACCTCATCTGTAAGTACAAGCACAACCATTTGTTCCCCATCAACTGTCTTTGCAACATCCAGTCTCTACCACATGAATCACATGAAGTTGCATGGTCAATCATAGGAATCCAACCCACTAAGCTGAGTAGCAGACAAAGCCTCCTAAGGTAAACACCACCTCAAAATAACATGGCATTACCCACCAAGCACAACAGCTGTATAAACAATAAAAGCCAATCAAACAATGTCAACAAACTTCACACACCGCGCCAACCCCCCCCCCCCCGCATCTCTACCATGGCTAATCATGGAGCCTCAATTCCTCATGACAGCCAAGAAAACGAGTGCAAGTGAGAGAGAGAGAGACCTAAAAACCCTAGGGATCGGAGAAGTGTTGTCGTAGCCAAGTCTTTCCTTTGAAGTGAGAGAGAGTCGATTGTCTCTCAATATTATCTCCTTTAATTCGAAGTTGTAGCAGCCAAGTTTCCTTTAATTTCGATTTTTATTTATTTATTATTTTTATTGCAAAACCAAATGGTTGCACACCTCCACAAATTACGTGCAAAATGTGCATGATGTGCTGTTGAGGCAAACACCTTGGAACTTTAGGCGTACGCATACCTGGTGTCTGCATAAAAAATCAAGCATCGGAGTAGTTTTTAACACTTCCCATCATTGTGCGCCCCAATTGCGCCTTTGAAAACTTGGGTTAGGTTTTTGTCATTGAAATTAAGAAAAATGAAGAATAGACTTAATGAGGCCTAAATTGTACTGTATAATGCTATTTTGCTTGTAATGGTGTTAGTGTATTACAACCAGCTAGGCTGTTGACTAGTTAGCACTCTCACCAAATAATCTAGCTGCGAAATCAACTTTTTTTTAATTTATTTTTATTTTTTTAAATTTATTTTTATTTTTTAAAAACAAACTTTGTCCCCAGAATGTCAGATTTATGCATAGGTTAGATTTATATGGGATTTTGATATATTGCATAAGGTGTGCCACCATTTTGTCTGACCATCGCCCTCGTTTTGGCATCCCCAATAGCTAATTGGTCTGTTTGGAGAGTGATGAGTTAGGCCTTTGACGAAGTTAGCATTGATATGGTGCACATTTTTCTTGCTCAATTAGGCCTTGCAAATTATCCTTTGTGTACTAGACACAAGTCGGTCTATTGGCATGGGATCCTCAAATTATCTTGGCACTATTGGCTAGTTAGCTTCCTTAGGTGGTGCCATATTCTTTTTGTTCTAATCCCTCTTTCAAGTCATAACCAAATACGCTATTATATCGTGCACATATTGGATACAAAATTTTGAAAGTAATGCACATTTGGTAGCCAATGAGGCCTTTTTGAGTGACAAGCCCATTGCACCTAACCTTGAGGTCTTCTTCAAGTTTGGGCACTTGTTTGGGGATGCCATGATTGAACTTAAAGGTATTGGGCATTGAATGGATTATTCTTGAGCCACCTTTTTCTTTATTTAGAATGTGTGCAATTTTGGAGTTTTAGAATTTGACACTGTGGGAGCCGAATATAATTAGATCAATAGGGACGAGTAGACCCTTCCGGTCCGGAACGTAGCTTCTATTCAGCATTGATCTTAGTCAATCGAAGAGCCGAATAAAGTAACCAGCACTCCAGCCAGTAGAGCAAAGGCCGAGTATAAGTACGTGTAAAGGATCATGAATGGGCCTGGCCATAAGGCCCAAAAAGAATACTATAAATATGGGATCATCAGTTAGAGAAAGGTATGCGAGAACTATTACACTTAACTTAAAATATAAGTAACTTAGAGAGCAAAGACTGACTTGCCCGTTGGAGTGCTAATTCTGGCACCCCTAACCGGATTGTTAATTCTTTTTCAGGTGGCTAGCTGAGGATCACAAGCGTCCCCCAAGATCAGAAGAGTATTTCCAAACCACTTCTCCACAATTGGCGCCGTTTGTGGGAATACTCAAATACATCCATGGCGGGCGTGACAGAAGACCCTCCGATAGTCACTGATGAAACCACGCAGAGAGATGACCTCACTCCAACAACCATGCTTGGACCAGAGACTATCGTCGCAAGATGCGCCTTGAACTTCGCTTCACCCTCGACTTCGGAGCATGAGACAATGCAGGCGATCATGGAACAAGCAAAGCAAAATGAACAGAGGTTAGAGAACATGATCGCCGAGAATGAACGTCTCCGTCAAGATTTGACCTTGGAGGTGGCGAAGTCCAAACAAGCTGTACGCCTAGATCCTGAACAACCTCTGAGGGCAGGTGGTTGACGACCTCGAGCCCGACAAGATGACATTGATAGTGACTCCGACTCATTATCCTCGGAGCCCAAGAAGAAGGGGCGACTTGAAACTACTAGTTCTTCTGAAGAGAGTCCCCGTATAAGGCATAAGCGAAGAAGAAACAGTTCAGATGAAGAAGACCAGCACGATCCCTTTGTATGATGGATTGCAAAGGCAGTGCTACCCAAGAAATTCAAAGCACCGTCATTCACCTTGTACGACGGTAAATTAGACCCCACCGATCACATCTGGTATTATAAGCAAGCCAGGACGCTGCATGCAGACGATGAGGCTCTCATGTGCAAAATATTTCCGAGTAGTTTGGGACCACTAGCTGTCAGGTGGTATTATAAACTGGAGCCGGCTTCGATTAAAAGCTTTCACCAACTCCAAAAATCCTTCAAGGCAAGGTTTATCACTAATGAGGTCCAGCCAAAGCAAGTCGATTCCCTCTGAGCAATGCAGATTCAACCGGGGGAAACCCTTCGTGCGTATTCGGCGAGGTATTGGGAATGTTTTAATCTGGTAGACGATGTTTGCAATGACTTCATGGCCATCACCGTCTTTAAGATGGGGCTACATTCCGCCAGTGCCCTCTGCAGCTCTTTGACCAGACGGCCCCCCAAAACTGTTTGGTCGTTGATGAAGAAAGTTGAAGAATACTGTAAAGTGGAAGATGATGCCTTGTGGTTTAAAGCCGGAAATGTGACCAATAAGACGGCTCCTACTGAAATTGCTCAGCCATTAAATTTTGTAGCACCTCAGAGCCCTGAACCGCGGCATCGGGCAAAACGAGATAAGAGACGGGATTCTCGCTGATCAAGCGACCAATGCTCCCACCGAGCAAATGAACAGCTGCAAGTCGATAGTAGGCGCACAAGGCGCACCGACAAGAAATATACTGAGTTGTTAGAGCCAATCAGTACGGTCATGTCCAAAATCCAACATCTTCCGTTCTTCAAATGGCCGTAAAAAAATGGTGGGACCTCCCGACACGCGAAAACGGGATAGGCGGTGCGAGTATCACAAGGATCATGGCTATGATACTGAGAGTTGTTATGCCTTGAAGGATCACCTGGAGGAATTGGTGCAGGATGGTCAGCTACAGCAGTACCTCCGAAAAAGCATCTCAACCAAAGCAATAGCCTTAAGACATGATTCCCCTCCACTCGGCGTGATCCACATGATATACAGCCTGCCAATTTCATCCGTGGTGCATACGATTTAGTCGAATCCCGATCCTCAAAATCAACTCACTCTGGCTAAACGGCCCCATGAAGTTGCAAGCATTACTTTTGATGATTCGGATTTGGCCGGAGAGACACTTCCCCACATCAATCCCTTGGTAATTGAGTTACGCGTAAACCAATTCACAGTTGAGCGCGTACTCATTGACCCGGGGAGCACATCGGAGGTTATGTACTACAAGACATTCACCAAATTCGGCTTCTCTGAATCGTATCTCTCCCTGACCCCTTATCCACTATTCGGCTTCAACGCCAATCTAGAGTACCCGTTGGGGAAAATCACACTACCCATTCGGGCGGGCTCCCAAACAGTGGATGTGGAGTTCTTGGTCGTGAAGTTGTCATCGCCATATAATCTCATCATGGGACGGACTTGGTTGCATACTATGCAGGCTGTGTCAAGCACTTATCATCAGCTGTTTCGCTTCCCGACAGCTCGCGGCATTAAGTAAATCCGTGGTTCACAAAAGTCGGCACAAGCATGCTATATCCTTGCTGAAAAGACGCCGAAGGAGTTGCAAGTGAATTCCATTGAGGTACCGGATTGGGAGAGCCTCGATGATGTTGGGCGGCTCCCGAGTGAAAAGGCCACGGAAGCCCTAGATCGAGTCGAAATCGGCGGAAACCCAGACAGGTTCTTCATGGTTGGCGCCTCCCTGAATCAAGCCGACAGACAGCAGCTTATTTCCTTCCTACTCAGCAACCTCGATGCCTTTGCATGGACTCCTT